ACGGTTCTGTAAGGCAATGCAGATTCCCCGCAAGCCTCTTGAAGCCCTTGATGGCACTGTCGTGCTGTACGACCTCTGGCACATTCAATTTTTATCCAACATCGTTGTTCTTGTTTTGAAAACATCCTGACAACACTTACATTAGACCGCGAGCTAATACAAGGATTCGTTCTTCCCGTCACTCCGCATGCGCGTGTCGTAGGCAGGACGAGTCTTTTTGCTGAGAGGTAAGGTAGGTATATAGTTTACGTGTGGTATACGCGATATTCTTTGGTTTTGTTGCGTAGCGTTTTTTCAGCTGTGTTGCCAATATTAAAGTTCCAACCCTCGTACACAAAACTCTTTTGCATACATATGTTAAAGATAATCGCTGTAATTTTTTATGAGTAATTGTGCGTATGGTTTCATTTGCTTGCATACATACGTTTCAGCCTAGTAATACCATAAACTTAAAAATTGCATGCAGGAATGAATTCTCAATTTTGAATGTCGTCCGGTTTTATATGGAGATCTGAATTCCCTTTGATTTTTGACAGTTACTAATTGCCTTTACGACAGGAATGAGATTAATAATACATTTTAAATGATTTTTTTATATTTTTATTATTATTCTCAGACACACACACACACACACACATATATATATATTAAATGAAAACGCAAGGAAAGGCGGAGCACTGTTAATGCGTACTTTGATCCATATTGAAGAATTCTGATTGCGTAGTATGCTAATATGTTGACTTGGTAATATCTAAGAACCCTGGCAGTCGAAGCAGTTTTAATTCCATTTTTATTTTCCAGTTGACGTTTGTGACCACAATTCACTTGGCACTCTAATCGTGCCTATTCAAGAACATTTACTTTTTTGAATTTTTAGCGATAGCAAGGGAGACAGCGAAATTACATCCTAACAGGGCAGAGAGCGAAGCTGAAGTGCGTACTTATGGAAGATGGAAGCACGCGAATAGAAAGGTTTTGGTTTAAAGTTTCAGTACTCAATTGTTACGTCATCTGCGTTGCGAAGGACATGCAAAAGGTATGATCTAGAAATAACGCAATCGAGAGAAGTTATTACGATTTTTAGACAGTGAGGGAGAATTAATTAGTTTAAATTATAATTTTGATTTACATATGTTTTATCTTACATATATATATATATAATGATGCTTAATGAATATATATATATGTAGGTCACAAGGTTCTTTTTACATCTAAGAATGGAAACGTCCACAACAGTTAGATGATTCTGCAAGCTGTGTGAAGGAATTCAGACGATTCGGCCATTGAGACGTTAGATGGAAGCAGAAGCAGCAGGATGCGATGATCAAGTGATGCGGTTTGAAGAACCAGTAGAAAGGCTCGTTTCCACTACTGCGTACGAACGCGTTGCGTCAATTGAAGACACGCCTACGGCATCCGTACAAGCGTTTCCACTGCTGCGGATCCGTAAAATACTTTCATTTTCCGCCGCTAGGTGTCACTGTAATATTTTGGCGCCAAACAAGCAGTTCGAGAGTTACGATCCTGAACATCTGAATTTTTCCCGCTTAAGCGAGTATTGTTTGTTTTGGATTTGATATGGATCCTGACGTAAAACGCAGAACAGTTTTGTTTACTAAATTCCATGTTATTGGAAATTTTTATTTCTGCTTATGAACTGCGAAAGTAAAGTACGCTAGCAATTTTTAGATAAGTAAGGTTAAAATGCATATTATGAAAATCACTAATTCCATAGAAGCTGAAGTAAATTAAAAAAAATTTTTTTTGCGTTTCTAAAAGCCTTAAATATTATGAAATAATATATATATTATTAAAACTAAAATGCAGTGTTAGTGAAAAAGTAAACAAATTAATAAATAAAATAAAAAAGTTAAAGGAATTAAAAAATAGTTGGTACTTTAAAAGTACAGAGCAACTAACTGTAAAGAAAGGTTCACATTATTTACACAAAATTTGCTATGCTTATATACCGCTGACTTCAGGGTCATAGCTGGATAAAATTATTAGAAATCTCTTTTGTTTTAAAATTCACTATGGGCAGTTATATTTTATGCATAATCCATAAAATATTATTTTTAATTTAAGCATTTTTAATTCATATCTCTTTTTATAAAAGAAGTTATAAAAAGAAGATTTTTCTCTTTATATATACACACATTAGGTAAAGAAAATGGAAATATTTAATTAATTAATTCCTGCGCTTCTGCTGGAGAGGACTGAATTTAAAATCAATTATTATAGTAATTTTTTGTTAAAAAAATGTTTAGGGCATTAATACTGTCTCATGTTAATTGGAATGAAAGTTTAGAGTCGTAAACATCCCAAAGTCTGAGAACATGTATATACATTCACATAAAAGTGAAACGAATATATATATATATATATATATCTGCAGGGTTTCAAAATAAATTAAATTTAAATAATTCTCCTGCGCCATTGCTGCAAGGAATGAAATTTGAGTTTAACAAACATTTTCTATTTGTAAAAAGCAAATTTAAAGTTAATTAAATTTAAATGAAATTTAATGCAAACAAATAAATGATTAATTATTGCTGCGAACTAATATACAATATCATTTAAATTCTGAGAGCATATGTAAATCAAGTGCAAGTATCAAAATCCATGAACAAATATATAATTCCAAAAATTTATTTATCCTATTATTCACTTATCATTTTTATATATTTTTTAGGATTAAATCTATCCTATTATTCATTTATGCATTTTTATAATTTTTTAGGATTAGTAAGGTATCCTATTATTCACTTATGCATTTTTATAATTGTTTAGGATTAATAAGCTATCCTATTATTCACTTATGCATTTTTATAATTTTTTTAGGATTAATAATCTATCCCATTATTTACTTATACATTTTTATAAATTTTTTAGGATTAATAAATTTTTGGAATTATATATCTATTCATGGATTTTGATACTTGCACTTGATTTACATATTCTCTCAGAATTTAAATGATATTGTAGATTAGTTCGTAGCAATAATTAATCATTTATTTGTTTGCATTAAATTTCATATAAATTTAATTAACTTTAAATTTGCTTTTTATTAATAGAGAATGTTTGTTAAATTCAAATATATATGTACAGGATATGCTTTAAATTAGTATTATATAATTTTCAAACTTTTTTGCGGGAAAAATTTAAATAAATAAGAGCATAAATAAAACAATATATTTAATGCAAAAAATAATAGAAATAAATTATAAAACACGAATATAGATCAAATTGGAATAAAAAGCTAAGAAAGTTGCAGACAGGGTGCAAAAAGCGTATGGGATTCGAACTCACGACTCCAAAAGGTAAACGTTGTTACCATCAGCTTTACCACTAAGCTAAGATTGCACATGAACCGCAGCCATATTTTGGCTTACATACATTATCAATTAAATCAATTCTTAAAACTTAAGTTTTTTGGTCCTATTTCAGTGTGCTATCGTCTGAAAAATTCACCAGAGTTTGTTCTTCAGCTTCTAGTACATTTTTTACAAAAAACATTTTCTTTTAAAGTGGCGTTCCGATTGAAGTTAAACGGGCTGCTAAAAATATATTTCATGTGCTTACAAATATATATTAGCCAGAAAGATGTATTTATAAAGGGGAATACAAATTTAACATACTCTTCAATGAACTGGAGTATTTAAAAGGCTATCAAATTTAATTTATAATTAACGTTTTTAGTTTTTACCTGTTTCAAAAGAAAAAAAGTAGCAAATCTTTTAATCATATCTAATTTGCTATAGCAGTTTGATATAGTCAGACATTCATTTTCATTAAAGCTAAATGAGTATGCAGAACTAGGAAATGATTATCAGAACAAATTTTGCTATTTCATGGACTTGGAATTATAATTTTTGCCGCTGATTTTCTTGAACTGAATTTCTTGAACGAACAAGTACTGTAGTTGCAATTATCTTGTTTTTCTTATCTTTTTTCAACTAAATTCAGCTGATTGCTATCTTTTTCAGCACGCAGATTTCTCGCTATAATGTTAATTCAGAAATAAGTATTTTTTAGCAAAACATTCTTTTCCTATTAGCGAGCGTTCATCGCTACTTCTGCCGCCATTAATTTTTAGTGACTGCACCTCAGTGCTCCTTTTTCACCACGTGACCCCAACGCATCCGCAGACATACGGATAGAAGTTGAACATTGTTGAACTCCATCCGTATGTCATCCGTCACCGCACACCGACCGGATTGCAGATGTCAATAAAAGTGAATTCGCTCGCTGATTGGAGAAACGCATACGCACCGCAACGCATACGCAGCAGTGGAAACGGGCCTGAACTATGGACTGTTTTTTGCAATGCCATTTGATGTGATGTCACTCCATTTGCGTGATGCTAAAGACTCACTTTTCATCTTACTTCTTTACATTTTTATATGTTATTTTCGTGTTAATTATGTTCGCGTGTTTTCATCATTAAAATACTAAATGTCATTACCGTCGTAATCATTCAGACAGAGTACAACGACTACACACACACATACATATTCGTATATATATGTATGTGATAAAAACAAACTTAGAAGTAATGACTATGAGAAATTTTGTTGGCGTAGAAGTGTTGATCCATAATGAATAGGGGTAATGATCCATATTTAGAGGGGAAGGCAGATTAAGTCTTCATTTTTTATTTCAGCAAACATATTGTGGCCACAATCAAGTTGACACATTAATTGTGTCTATCCCGAAAAGCTTACATTTTAGATAAATTTAAATAAGATATAAAGAGCAGACAGACAGCAGTCCAGCTAGGCCAAAGCATAGAAAGCAAGTGCGTAATGTTCAGGGTGAAATCTTAATTCAGACTGAAATAGTTTTGGTTCTCAATGCATTTCGATTGGATGGTTAATATTGCTATAAAATTACTATTGGCTGCTTGAGTTTTAGTTCCATTTACATCACCAGAAATTATGTGCGTGTCCATATTCATTATGCAAAATGAAGCAACTTAAAGTAAAATTAAAGCATCTTACTTTGTCCAACAGTTTTTTTCCAAAAATGTCTTGTAAGTAATCGTGTCCCATTCTTCGGCATGAGGAGCAGCCCAAGGAGCATTGGCAGGTATCTGAGAAATAATATTTAAACAGCAATTTTAAATACTGTGTATTTCCTAATATAAGCTGATCCGTGTAAGGTTTTCTTCCAACAGTTCCCAATGTTCGTATATAAGTAAAAAAAAAAAAAAAAAAAAAACATCACCTTTAACGTTCAAGTACAGGGTGGTTATATTTAAAGTGACCCTATTCAGACCCCTGTAGAACCCGTTCTGTCTAATGGATTTTGATGAAACTTGGTATATACGTTAAATGGACTACGGGGAAAAGATTTCTGCAATAAAAATAGTTTAAATTTTGACCACCAGATGGCAATTTTTAAAATTTCCTTATGCATATTAGTCAAACTATAAAGAGATTAGCAGTCAGAGCCAGAAAATCATGCTGTATGCCTTTGTCGTCGTTAATTATGCCCTTACAGAAGAAAGATCGAGCTTTACTAGTAAAACTGTTTTATCGGAACGGCAGCAATAGCATAGTTGCATTGCCTGAATATCGACATTAAAAGGGATTTCGAAAAGGGCCCATGTCGAAGAATGGTTTGAAGAGGATGCTTTGAAATTATTTTATTACATAAATCATTTTCCCATGGTGCATATGACATATAAACCAAATTTCATCAAAATTCAATGAGTAGAACAAGTTCTAGAAGGGCCTGAATAGGGTCACTTAAATTATAACCACCCTGTATTTCGCAATGAGAGCAAACATTTTGCCCAAATGGGTGGAATTCAAATCACTGAAAAGTGAAACGCCAGCAGCTACCGACGACAGTTTTAATTCTGGTCACCTTATTTGAAACCACATATATTTTACATTTATTTGACTGATCTTCTTGTAAACAATCTCCTGTAGTTTCTATGTTAGTTTTATTTTCTATGTCATTTTATTCTTTTGTCTGAAAGATGAGCGAGTTTGGTTTAGTTTATTAAATTATGTCAAAGCGCTCTAGGGACAGATACTTTAGACAGATACTGTCTAAAAGGAGGGATGCCTTCGTTGAGAGCTTTCTAAGGGAATCTAATCTAATCTAAGAAAATAAGCCGTACCGCCAAAATTGGCACAACCGGCAATTTAAAAGAAACAAACTGAAAGATAACTGGATAAACACTACAACAGAATAAGGACTACTTATCCAAAAACTCATCCTCCGCTGGAGATGTGTCGGCGCCGCCAACGGGTCATCTCGACCTTCATTCAGAAAAGAAACCACCTATTTCTTAACATAAAATGACTAAATTGAACTCAAGACAACTGCTAACCTAAACAACAATTATAAAATACAAATATTGCCTAGCTTAACGAACAATAAACATTTACAGTTTTCAGTAAATTATACATTGTATGTATACAAATTACATTATAATTTATGCAATTCAACTCAAAAATTTAAGCAATTAAACAAAAGGATCGAAATATACATAATTATTCAAATTGGTAATAATTTTTATAAGTCCTAATTTAGCTTTATTATTGCTATATAGATATTTTTCATTATTTATAAATATATTTCGAAAATATTCTCCTCTAATTTCCTTCGTTAAGGCACAGTCCCAAATGTAATGTCCATTAGATGCTCCAGATGCATCCTGACCACATCGGCAATGAATATCTTTCCCATGAAACCTTTTTAGATATTCTGGAAATTGGCCATGTCCTGTTATCAATTGATTTAGCAATCTATTGTAACTTAATCTTTGCTCTTTGACAACAGGAAATATTTTTATAAACCTTTCGTCCAGTTTTTTTGTCATAATGCCATCTTTGTTGCCATGTGTGGAGAATCTTGTCATGTAGTACACTCTTAATATAATTAAGAGATAAAGGAACCGTGATATCAATATCTGTATTATAGCATGCTTCCTTAGCAGCAGAATCTGTTGCTTCATTTCCATGAATATTCGAATGTCCTTTTATCCAATTTATATGTAATTTCATTTTTGAATTAATATTGTGAATCTAATTTCTGACTTTATCTACTTTTGCAGATAAACATTTTCTAGAATTAAGAGCTCTAAGGATGCTCTGGGAATCTGTGAACACCGAAATCTCCCAATTTGTAATATATTTTTCATTTTCTTCCTCATTAGCCCATCTTATGGCGTTTTCAAAGGCAATAAGTTCTGCATAAAAAATAGTTGAATTATTATTCAATCTTAATTTAGATTTATATACAAATTTATTATTTGCAAAAGCAACAAATGCTGCTCCAACATTTTTATCAATCACGGAGCCATCAGAGAATAATTCCAAACCAATACCAGTTGGAAGAAGTGTCTTCCAGGTAACCTCTTTAAATTGTGCCGGATGAAAATAAAACTTTTCTAATTTTGGATCAATTTCTCTATTAGAAATCTTCAGGTCATAATAATCTATATTCTTCTTCATATGAGCAGCTTTATAAATCAGCGTTTCAGCTTCAGCTACTAAGTCTATAGGCGTAACCCCAGCTAAGACCTGTAGGCTGGTGGTAGAGACTGTTCTGTAGCATCCCGTAATGGGTAGCATTGCAACTCTCTGAATCTGTAGCAATTTATTTCTCACCCTTTCCGTTCCAGTCCACCAAACGGGTGAGCCATACAAGATTATTCATTCAATTCCTCTATTGTATAATTCTTTTAAAATACTTTTACTTTTAAAAGAATCCATACATAATAATCTATTCATCTTACTCATAATCTTAAACATTTTTTCTTTCAATTTAGTTAAATGTGGCAACGAACTTAAATTTGTATCCAAAATTATACCTAAGTATTTAAGTGTTTTTTTCGCTGCGGATTCTTTTTCCATTCCACGTCAATAAAGGTAATCTGATTAATTTTGAGCCTTTTGGGATTGTTATCATAGCCATTTTATCTTGGCTAATATCCAGCTTATTTACTTTACAGCAGTTATAAAGTTTATCTAGAGCATTCTTTTCTTTGCTTTTTCTTCTATAATTAATCTATTACTTCCAGAAATCACACCAACACAAAATCGTCAGCATAAGCCTGCAAAAATACATCCTTTTCAAATTTCAATTATAAGGCAGTATCAGCCACGAGGTTCCAAAATGTAGGGCCTAAAACAAAACCCTGAGGAGCACCTTTATTATAATATTTCTCAATATTTATATTATTTCTTCTGTAAATAATTTTCCTATTATTTAGATAACTATTAATAATATTGAAGAGGTTTTGAGGACATTTTAAATCTAGAAGTCTTGATTTGATGCTGGGCCACCATAAGCTATTAAAGGCATTGCTAATGTCGATTGCAATCAAAGTAGTATGTAAATCCTTTATCTTATTAATTCTTATAGTGTCAATAATATTATTAATTGCCAAGATAGTATCTTTTCCTGGCGTAAATCCATATTGATTTGCATTTAGTAGATTATTGCTACCAAGAAAATTAACAAGCCTATTGTTGATCAATTTATAGAGAACTTTACCCAAAGTGGGTAATAAACAAATCGGCCTGTAAGAAGCCGCTTGCTCAGGAGGTTTATCTTGTTTTAAAAGCAAAACCAATTTGCCAATCTTCTATGTCTCAGGAAAATGTCCCCGTTGAAAACAAATATTAAATAGATTCAAAATGAATTTCCTATTAACATAATAAAGTTCTTAATTATGTATAAACTTCCAAAGGAATGTTATCATGACCGGGAGCTTTATTCATTTTCATACTCTCCAGAGCAGCAGAAAGCTCATCGGCAGTAAACAAAACATTATTAAAAGACTTCAAATCAACTTTTATTTTCCTTCGGATATCCCGATGTTCACTTTCATCCTCCTCTTCTTTATCTTCCATAAAGTGGAAGTTCGTAATTTCCTTTATTGTATCTTCTATATTTTCTGTGTAAGTACCATTACTTTTACGGATAGCAGTAAAAGTGACAGGATTCATCTGCTTATCTGTGGCAATTTTAAAATGCGTGCCAAAGGGACTTTGCAGAGACAATTTATCCCATATTTTAATCCAGTGATTTTCCTTTGCAATTCTAATGTTCTTTCTATATATTGCAAGATGTTTACAATAAATGTTTTTATTATTTAATCTATCTTCGCCACAGGAATTCTGAAATCTTCTTCTAGAAGCTCGAACTTTTTTCCTTTCATTATTTAATCCATTATTCCACCATGGAGAATAGTTTTTCTTTTTTCCTGTATCGTTATAATTAAACCGAACATTTTCACATATGTCACATATGATTGAATTAATTTCATGTAATTGAGATTCTATATCTTCATTGATTTCAATGCCAGAAAAATTTTCAAACATAAGCTCCTTTAGAGCAATCCAGTTCAATCTCTTCAACTTAATTCGGTTATTTTGTGTATCATCAATTATCACATTTCTAATCTCAAAATGAATATAATTATGATCACTAAGGCTAATTTTATCAGAAACTTGCCAATTACATATCTCAATGTCTTTAATCAATCTGGAAGCAGTAATATCAATCCATGAATTTCCTAATACTGAAGATTATGTGGGAAAACTGTTTCTATTGTTGTTTACAACAAAGTTATTTTCAAGCAGAAATTCTGCTAATTTTTCTCCCCTTGAATCCATGTGGTTTTGGTCCCACAATGGACGTTTACAATTGACATCACCATTTATTACTAATGAAGTATTTTTAAATCTATTAAACAAAGAAGATAAACAACGTAAATGATCATCAATAGTTTCTGATGGGGAAAATAGCATGTAATCAAGAGAAAAGGACTTTTTCCGTCCACCAAAACAGCAACTATGTCTTTAGAAGCATAAATTTGTAAAATGGATAAATTTTCATTGAATACAAAGAAAGCCTTTCTAAGGGAAACTGGTTTATACACATGTTACACATGGACCAAAACCACGAAAACCCCATTCAGCCAAACCGCTGAGCGGGATCCGAACTTCCTACCAAACTACCAATATTTAGCGACTTTACTGGTCGGTCACTGGTGAGCCCAAAGATGAACGGGGGGGGGGAACTTCTCATACAGCAAATTTCAAACTACAGACAATCGCGTTTGTTGAA